GATCAGAGTTTTTTTGGGTTTCGGACCGTTGCAAGGCTCAGGCATTCAAGCTTGAGAACTACAGGGTTAGGGTCTAGGATCTAGGCTTTTCGCATACTTGTATTTATGTTGTTTTGTGCGCGTGGTGTTTTCGTCTCTGAAGGACTCACATTGGGCAAAGAAATTTAACTTAGAGAGCTACCCCCATGTGCAGCCAGCTGAGTCAGACTCGCTGAGGCCCGAGGCCCCGCGCTAACCTGCGCTAACAGCTCAGCACTATGCCAGTCGCGATGCAGGAGCAAGCCTTTTTTCGATGCTGATATACGCTGAACGAAGCTGTGCTCTCAATGACACGCCAGATTCCGTCGCGCCACGAACGCCTGGTGGACATGTGTTTGAACTAGAGCACTCAAAACTTGAGCTCGGGTCGTCAGGTACAGCAAGCCGACACCTTAAAGGTGTCAGCTTGCTGTACCTGACGACCCACTTATTCACCCACCCGAATCATGATGGCTTCCACTGTGCATGTGACCGTCTTGAGAAGCCGACGCTTAGAAAGGGTGAGACGTGCAAGCTAGCACTGACAGAAGCAGTTCTTCCTGCCCTCCTGTCTAGTGATGACGGATGCATCTTAAATGAAGGAAGAGACCTTGCGAACGACGCCCCTGCCCTGGGAGTAGTGGTAGAGGCTGGTGTAGCCCAGGTGGAAGGGCAGCCAGGCGTACTGCAGCACCTTGCCCAGCACCTGGTGGGCGTCGATGGACTGCTTAGCCTGGCGGTCGTTCCTGCGATCGTCCTCTGCCTTGCCGGTCTTAACGGAGCCCGGTGCCCACTTGAGTCAGCACTCGTGGGCAGCAGCAGGGCGAAGGCGGAGAAGCTGGGAAGCGCGGTGGGATGCCGCTCTTCTTGGCCTGACCCTCCGAGTAGGACGCGGCCTGAGCGGTGCCCACAGCACCGAAGATGCCCACGGCCATGATGAGGTGCAGGTGCCTCAGGGCCCGGCTGTAGGTGAACTGCCAATCTCAGAAGTCTCCTCGCCGACCACCTGCTGCTCCGTGTTCTCTGCCGGCACCAGCTGGCCCACCAACAAGTCGCGGTCTCGCTGCACTCGTGCCTTCTCCGAATGCTCGATTCGAAGTCCTTGGTGCAATCCGTGCCTGCCTTGGACATCAGGATGTCGTCGCCGCCGGGGTGGCTGCCCAGGCAAGGATGGAGTTGCGCTGCTCCTGGTGGTGCTTCAGGAAATCCGTCAGGTCGAAGAGCTCGCCGCAGATGGCGATCCAGCAGTCGTGCGGCTTGTTGCGCCGGGCCCCCTCCGACAAAGGGATGTCGCTGCTCGTCCAGCCGAAGGGGACGTCGTGCTGATGCGCGTGGTCCTGCAGATATGAACTGGCCACATGGCCCAGGGCATGGTATCCTAACCACAGCTTACGTGTTTAGGGTTTCGGGTGTAGGGTTTTATCTAGGGATCAGTAGGCATAGCATCGTATGCTTCCCTGTGGTTAACTATGCTATGCAATGATGCACTACGTCGACTGCAGCCGTGCAGTCTAATCAAAAGCGACTTTACATCACACGGTTACTGCGTGACTATACTAAACTAACTGGTCTTCTGTTCCCTTATTTCGTTCCTAGGAGGCTTTCTTGAAAAAGGCACCAAACTCAACACCCCAAACGCTCCAAAGACTAAACCCCATACTATAGACACCTCAACCACCCGAGGCAACTCTAAAGTAACTCTAAAGCCCTAAACCCTACCCTGAACCCTAAAGCGAGACTCTAAACCTCAAACCTAGACTCCCCAAACCCGATAAAGCCTAAACCGAAAACCCCGAACCCGAGACGAAACCCTGAACCCGATCCTGGTGCGTGAGGAGCTCCTCCATCGCTCGCTTCACCTCAGCGGCCTTCTCGAAGTCCTGGCACGTCGCATCGAGGAGTTATGGGCTTTAGGCTTGCGGCTGCCTACTGAGACTTACAAAGATTGGCATTCCTCAAATTTCTGGAACTAGCTCATACAGGCATGCATGCAGTCGTTCTTGATGGAGGAATGGATGGATGGTACAACCGAGTGAAAGAACGACTGCATGCATGCCTCCATCCCTCCATTCCTCCATACATCCGTACATCCGTCCATCCATGAATCCATTCATCCATCCATCCATCCATCCATCAATTCATCCGATCTCCATTTTCTCTGCTCCCAGCCTCCGATCGTCAGAGGGGCGCAAGCCGACTTCCTGACCTCTCGCCGAAACTTCTACCCCCCAACTTCGGAAGTCCTAATGTCATAGCGTCTTTCAGGATGGTGGTGAACAAGCCTTCCCTACACACACACATATATATATATATATATATATATTATGTATATAATATACATAGACACACATCATGAAGCGCAGAGCCCTGAAAACCGACTGCGTGCCCCATCGATCTTCCACGAAGGGAAACAAAAAATCGCGAGCCGAGGCTTGGATAGAAACTAACTGCGCAGGCACTGCGAGTCCAAGTTTACTTCTGCATGTGTAACATATTTAAATATTTCTGGACGCAATCAACCTCAACACATGACACTGTGGTTCTAAGGACGAAATGCGGCGGCTACGTCCTACGTCCATTGCCAGAACTCTGGTCTCGCTTGCGGACGTCACAGCGATTTGTAATCTTGGACTACACGTGCACTGCGCAGCACCACGGCTCGGGAGAAAGCAGCACCAGTAGCGGATGGGAGCCAAGACGCTTTGACAAAGAAGACAGGCCTGGTTTCGCGAAGTTCGACCGTAAACGACGCAACAAGAAAACTCCCTCCAGCTGCCTCAGGAACGAAAGTATGAAGCACCCCAGAACACCCCCACCCACTCTAATTCAGCAGTCCCCGGAGACTCTGAGTTGAGAGCCTTCCCTGCCGTCTCTGGCGCAGGGAAGCGGACATTGAGCGCTGAGCCGCTAAGCCCGGGGAAGAGCGAAAGAGCGCAGCGCACTGCGAGCCCAAAGTTACATCTTTAGCTCTGCCAAGGCACAAGGAAAGACAATTGCAATGCACGGCTAGGGGTGCATAGAGGTCAAATGTTAGATGCACATCGGGGGGGGACGCTGGAATCAGTGTGAACTGTGAGAGGATGCTAGTTCTTGAGTACGCCACACCTAAACACGTTATGTGCTTTTCCAGACATCCAGTGGATGCTCGAACTTAGCGAGTAACCCAGGGCGGCGTGCGCTGCACTTAGAGTAAAATTTGGGGGGCACTCGTGCAGCATCCGCAGAGTCTTCAGCACAAGTCCATCTCGATCCTTGCACTCCCGACGGCCGTGTTTCCGTCGGTCGGATCCACCACCGCCTTCCCTTTCCGCCACTCGCCGGAGCGGCGCGGTGGCTTCTTCTTGTGGCCTTTGCTTTGGATGCAAGGCGGGCTGTAGAAGACGGCCACGGGTAGGTCCGGCTCAAAGACGATCTTCAGCACGTCGCACTCTGTGGCCTGGAGATTCACCCCGGTCAGCTTTGCAGCTTCTCCCGAATCGAGCACCACCGAGTCGCCCACCTTCAGCTGGCCCGCGGGGAGGTAGAGAATCTGGTCGAGCTCGCCCCTTGCATCGGGGACTCGCACGGGATGGTCCGGGGTCACGCACAGCGTCGCGGCTCCTGCGTGCAAGTCGACCACTTCCTTGGCGGCACGGATCTCCGGAGGGGCGGCCACTTCGAGGATGGTCTTGCCATCGGCGCTGACCACCTGCGAGCCTTTCTTCAAGTCCGTGCCCATCAGGTAGTACTCGGTGTCACAGCTCCGGATCTTGAAGATGGCATCAGCCATGAAGCAGCCGAGCTGCTCGGCAAGATCCGGCTCCTGGCCATGGGACGTTTCAGCGTTGGCGTGGCCGACCAAGTCCCGGGCTTCCCGTTGCTGGAGCTCCAGCTCACGAATCCGCTGCTTGTGCATGTCCTTAAGCTCTTCCCGCAAGACCTGCATCCGACCGAGCATCGCCGACCTCTCGGCCTCTGCTTTGGCCGAGGTTTCCTTGAGCTGCTGTCGGAGCTGCTCGCACTGCTCCTGCAGCTCGCGGCTCCCGGCCTCCTCCTTAGCCGCCAAAGCTATGCGCGCCTGGCAGCTCTCCTCTTGCAGGCGATGCAGCTCCACCCGCATCTTGGCGGCATCAGACTCGGCCTCTGCGAGACGTCCCTTCTGCTCGGAAACTTCGGCCTCCGCCGCCTCCAAGCGGCTCGCAAGCTCCTCACAACGCTGCTGGCACGTGCCGTGCTCGTCCTGCAACTGCCCGAGCTCCTGCCGCATCTCCGCCGCCGCTGACTCTGCAGCTGCTGTGCGGCTTGCGAACTCCTCGCACTGCTCCTTGCACTTGGCCCTCTCGCTCTGCGCAGCTCGCAGCTCCGCATCCTTGTTGGAAACCTCCGCCTCGGCCGCAGCCAGGCGATTTCTGAGCTCTCGGCCCTCCTCCTTCCGCATCTTTGCCACGGCTGACTCCGCAGCTGCAGCACGAGTTGCAGTTTCGAGCTCCGCGGTCTTGACAGACACCTCTGCCTCGGCAACGGCCAGGCGATTGCGCAGATCTCGGCCCTCCTCCTGCGATGTGTGGAGCTCCGCTTCGAGGCGCCGGCGCTCGGCGGTCTCCTCGAGCTTCTGCCGCTTCCGCGCTGTCTCCTGGCTCTCGGCCGCCACGAGCCGCTTCGCGAGCTCCCGGCAGCGAGCGCGGAGGTAGGGAAGCTGCAGGTACCAGGCCGCCTGGCTCTCCCGCTCCGCTGCTGAGCAGCACCGCTCTTCTCGCAGGAGCCCCGCCTCGGAGAAGCGCCAGTGGCAAAAGGACTGATTCTGCAGGTACCTAGCCGCCAATGCCTCGGGGAAGCTGCGGCAGGCGTCCTTGTATAGGCCGAACTCGGCGGCCCCGTGCCGGAGCAGCGCCTCTTGGAGCTCCTCCGCCCTCGTCTCCTTGCCCGCGAGCTCCGTCTCAAAGCGCTCCCGGCATGGCTGGAGCCAGGCCTGGGCCTCCGCCGGCTGCGCGGCCCAGAGCTCCACCAGCCGAGTACTCACCGCCTCAAGAGCTCGATTCGCGTTTATAGCTGTTTTCCAAACAGCCAAATTGACGAAGGCGTCGATGACGGTCGCTAGGGGCCAGCTTGCAGGGACTTTGGTCAGGTCTACGAGAAGCGTTGCTTCGGGCTGCTGGGGCATGGCGGCGCGCCTCGGAAGCTCGGCAAAGGGGACCTCGCAGTCGTCTTTCTGAGCCGCTATAGATGGGCACTCCAACAATCAGCCAACGACTTCTTCCGAGGCTAGGCAAGCTGAACTTGCATTCACGTATGGGTGTCCTTACTCCGCTCAAGCCGGTAGCGATTTCCGCTGTTTAGGGTTTAGGGTTTCGGGCCAGAAACCCAGTATCATAAGCCTCGGCATCCAGGGCAGCGCGCTCTTGCGTCTTCAAGCGCTGGATCTTCTTCTTCAGCTCGGGGTCGACGTTCCTTGGGGGGAGCGTGTCTATGATAGATCAACGACTACCTGGCGGGTAGATGTGTAGATACATGTGTCCAGAAATTCATATGCATGCGTATCTCTCTCTCTCTCTC